TTGCTGCTGGATAATGTCACTCCCCCATGCTCTCCGCCCTTTGTGCCCATGGGGGTGGGGTGGGGCACCCAGCCTGGCTGATCACCTTGAAATTGTGTTTCCCCGAAAATAAGCCCTAGTGCTTATTTTGTAGCCCTCCAAAAATATAAGACCAGGTCTTATTTGAGGGGAAACACAGTACTAAAACAGAGCCTCCATAACATTATTTCATTGGCTCGGAAGAAATATAAAGCTGAATATCATCAGCATAGTAATCATTCCTCAACTTGTGCTACTATATAACTTTACCCAATGGTTGCATAGAAATTAAACAGGTGTGGGGATAGTGTCAAGCTCTGAGGCACTCTGGAAAACAAATGATATGGGCTAGATTTCCCCACTCCTATATCAATACCATCTGGAACCAGCCCTAGAGGAACGAAGCAAAGCAATACAATTCATGCCCATCCACTCCCAGCCCCTGAAATTGACCCAGAAGGGTACCATGAATAATACAATTTTGCCTAGATTGTCCCTTAATAAATTTTCCTTTTGAATGTGTGTTTATCTATTGTAAAGTAAATGCAAATTCTTTAAAATAGGCCATATCAGCACATTTCCATATGAATTTGAGATATACAAATCAGTTATGCTCATATTGAAATGCAAACTAAAAAGCATTCAACTTACCAACTTCTCTGCTTCTTAAACGTAACAATAAATTAAAGATAATATTTATCAGAAAGTAGGTGTTTTCAGTTTCCTTGCATGTGGCAGAACAAGAGGAGCTTGAAATACATTTATCCTGGCTTATTTCCAAACCACACTATTTAAGTATACTTTTTAAAAAGGATCCACACCCTTTTAAATCAATTCAAAATAGTCACAATGCATTCAACGGCATTCAAATATATTTTATCATTAAGAAAATCCTCAACATCAATTATTTTAGTTCTGATGATTCATAAGATATTGTCTGATTAATTCTGGAAAGGACTTCCTGAGTCCATTTATTTCCTTTTGAAAAGCAAATGGCTACCAGTTATACAACTTTTTGTCTAGATAATAAGTAGATAGATAGATGTACAGTTATCATTGTAATTCAGAAGAATTCATTGGAAGTTACTTGGCACAAGTATTCAGACCCTTTGCAACAATGTTTGAAGTTTAACTCAGATGCCTTCCATTTTTCTTGATCATTGCTGACATGGTTGATAGGAGTCTACCTGTGGTAAATTGCATTGATTGGACATGATTTGGAAGGGCAAACATCTCTTTATTGGAGGCTTCACAGCTGACAATGCATACTGTAGCAGAGCAAAAGCCATGAGGTCAAAGGAACTGCCTGCAGAGCTCAGAGACAGGATTATTGCAAGGCACAGATCTGGGGAAGGCTACAATAAAATTTCTGCTGCACTGAAGGTTCCTAAGTGGTCTCCATATTTCTCAAATGGAAGAAGTTTGGCATAACCAGGATTCTTCCAATAGCACTTAGACTTATATACTGCTTCACAGTACTTTACATCCCTCTCTTTCAAAGTCACCATATTGTCCCCCAACAATCTGAGTCCTCATTTTACTGACCTTGGAAGGGTGGAAGGCTAAATCAGCCTTGAGCTGGTGATAATCGAATTGCTGGCAGTCAGCAGATTGGCCTGCAATACTGCATTCTAACTACTGCGCACAACAACCTATTTAAATGAACGGAATTGAACCTAGCTGAACAATATCTGTAATTAGTAATCTGTAATTAGTAATCTGTAATTAGTGAAAGACCTGCTTATAATTATTAATATTTTCAATATTAACTGGAATATTAGCTGGAAAACATGGGTGAGACTTGACTTTATGGTATCTGTAGAAAAAACGTAATTTTCACGCTGTGCAACCCTAGGACACCCATCTTTACATGCTTGTATGTAGTCTTTGTCTTTGACCACAATGAAGCCCAAAATTTGTTGTTGAGCAAGATAGTTAAGTGAATTTTGTCTCATTTTACAATTTTTCTTGCCACAGTTAAGTGAATCACTGCAGTTATTAAATTAGTAACATGTTTGTTAAGTAAATCGAGCTTCCACATTGGCTTTGCTTGTCAGAAGGTGACCACATGGCCCTGGAACACTGCAAAGGTTGTAAATATGAGTCAGTTGCCAAGCATTTGAATTTTGATCACGTGACCATGGGGATGCTGCAGTGGTTGTAAGAATGACAAACTCATAAGTCATTTTTTGTCAATGCTGTTGTAATCTTGAACAGTCACTAAATAAACTGTCGTAAGTTGAGGACCAGCTGCAATGCCTCAGGAAGCTTTGAATTTAATGATGAGCATTTCCAGTATTTTAAAACTAAGCAGTTCTGTTTTATAACATACTAACACTGACCAAATTGTGTACGGAAAGATGTAAAATTTAGTAAACAGCTGGGGTTTCTCTTACTTGAATCAGCTATATGGCTTCCCTATGTGTTACTGCATGTTGGCAATATTAACTGTTGTAAAGGAATAATAACTCACCAGACTTGATCAATGGGCCTGTGTGGGAATGACTCTGGTATAGCTTGCAGCTTGGGATTAGACTTGCACTTCAGGTTCCAGAGTAGTCTGAGTCTTATGTTGATGGAATGTTTGTCACATTGTCAATAACTCATCAGCTGGTGCAAATTTCATTGCTATAAAAATAGTTGGAATACAATTTATTTTAAAAAATGCAAGGTAGTTGTTTTTGTTTTGAGGTTTTGGGAGGGAAAATAATATTCCAGTAGATTAACAACTATATCCAGAATTCCCATCTTCCCCATAAAATGTAAAGGAATAATACTTATAGCTAATTTTTGGCTCTTGCTAAATGTTTTTCCTCTTCAATCATGTCCTTAATGCTATATAATAGGTTATTCTATTTTTATATAGCTTTATTAAATTAAAAAAACCAATGAAATACAAATTAACATAAAGGAAAAGTGGGGAAGGGAATAAAAGGGAGAAGTTCAAAGTTGTCAAAAATGCATAAAATAAATATAAAAAGTGACCTTTGACTTTTTTCAGTACAGTGAAAATACAACAACCTCTAATATCAATACCTGAAAATGTTCAAAATATTAATAACCAATATTTAAAAACCAATAATCATATAATCTTAGTTTAATTTTAATCTAACATATAAAAATCTAATTCTAAATAAATCATAGCCATATATTTAACAACCCACAATATTTCTCTAGTCAAATCAAGTCTAATCTTCAAATTCCAAAATCAAACTTTCTTTTATCCCTTATCCTACAATAGGTTTTTCTAGAGCATTATTCTTTCAGGTAAATATGCTAATTAATTATCTCCTTTCTGAAACCCAAAGAGACGGTAATCCTTAAAAAAGGTACTTTTTTTATTAGATCAGCACCAAACAGCAAAGTTTTAAAGGCAATAAGAAGTGCTGAAAAGCTGATATTATCACACACCCAAAATGAAAAAAAGAATGGGAAATTGCCAAAGTATTACAGCTCTGAACACTTCAGTAGTACGATCTCCAGCACTTCAAGATATGAGCAACATATTTTATAAACACTTTGTCAACATTTCTATTCCACAACATATTTTTAACGAGTTGTAACTTAGTCATAATAGTTTATTCAGGGTGGAGCTTGGCAAGTAGTTTTCATTTTGGAACCTTGACCAATTTTGCAAAACCAAGATCCAAATTGTATGTAATATATCTTTAAACACTGAAAACAAATTCTATTTTTTTAAAAAATGTGAATAAGAAGCTATATCAGTAACACTTAACAAGAATGAAGTGAATGCCACATCAGTAATGATTTAAATATATTACATATTGCTATGTAATAATGTATTTAAATATACATAAATATAGACCCGAAAGATGGAGAGACAATATCAAAGACACAATACAACAGCATCAATTAACAATGGTTGAGGCAGCCTGAAGAGCAAGAGCCAGAATTTTGTACTTCTCTTGACACTCAAAATGGTAAAAGAGGAAGGGAGGAGGAGGAAAAGAACACATATTGCTGTAATAATTTTTACATAATGGAGAAATCAGAAATGTTATTAGTGAACTTGTTTCAGGTGTGCATATATTTACAATGCCCGCATATTATCCATCGTCCTGCTTTTATGCCACAATGCTTGACCATAGCTTTCAAGAAGATGATGCACTACCTCCTAGAACTGATTTTTTTTACACTATTATTTCATTCATTTTCCATTTATGTACATATGTTAATAAAAAAACCTGCAGGCAATCTTTATTCCAGGAAGCATCCAGCTCAAGGGTAATTGAGCTATCACAGATCAAACTTAAACTTTTCTGAGAATAATGTAGCATCTTACATGCCTATCTAACTGAATATTAAGGAAAAACAAAGCTACTCTTTCTCATCTTACCCCACACCTTCTTCCTGGTCCTGCCACTGCTCAGGTTTCAAGGTAAAAAAAGACTGCAGATTGTGGTTTCTGAGAATGTAACCAGCAGTGGATTTTTTGCAGATGTGAAAGATCAATAGAGGCAGTCAGATTTTTTTTTCAAAGTAGCTGACTGAAAATATTCCCTCATTCCTCAGACCGTGACTAATTCTGATATTATTTCAATAATTGGAAACATTACTTTTGTAATTGCACACATTCTGGATGCTAACTATGGATTGTAGGAATTATAGCCTAACTCGTATATTTGTAAATATAATTAAATATATTGTTTAATGCACAACTGTTTTCTCTCTTAATCTTCAATAAATTATCATGAATTATATCTGTTACCTTTTTTTTTGAACTGCATATCTTCTGCATATCCACACCAATGCTAAATGCAAATGGAGTTTTAAACCCCTTATCAAAAATATTTTCTACCTGGTACTCCTCAAATTCAAATAGAGTATAACTCTGAAATTAAATTCTGTCCTAACTACATGTTAACCTGTGTGCAGTTTGACATGAAATTAAATTCTATCCTAACTACATGTTAACCTGTGTGCAGTTTGACATGCAGGTAAACCCACCTATCCTCCAAAAGCTATTCTTGTTGGGGTAGATGCCGCCTGTAAAACATCTTATACAAATTCTCTTTATAGGCAGTTGACATTGTTAATTTGTAATTTCTAGTCCATAGTTTCTGCCATTTATCCAAGTCTATCCCATATCCAAAAAAAATTCCCCTGGCAATCATTGTTTCTTTAACTTGCTCTTCTTCTAATTTCACTCCCAATAAATAACCATATAATTTTTTAATCATCCTCTCTTCACTGCCTGTTAAGATTTTCTCCAGTTCAATCAGTTCTTTATGAAACCCATCTATCTTACTATCCTTTTAATATCTTGAATGTATTTGCAAATATGAATACCAATTCATATTAATCCGTTGTTTATCTAATTCTTGCTTTGTTCTGAGTTCACCCTTTTCATTTAAGATTTCATTATATCTAATAATATGTTCCATTTTAAAAACATTTGGGTATGCAAAAGCCTCTATTGTTGATAACCAGACTGGTATTTTCATATAATGCTGCCCTTATTTTCTTTCATATTGTTAATAAAGCGTCCTGGATATAATGTCTCTGAAAATATCCATATATCTTACCCACCCATGTCCCTCCAAAGTCAATAATCTTATCTGCTTCAATGCAATGCATTTTTTCATCCATGTTAATACTATTGCCTGATAATACAATTCCCAATTTGGTAATCCAAAATCTCCTCAATTTCTTGAGTTCCACAACATTTTAAAGTTAATTCTTGCTTTTTTTCCCCTTGCCAGATATATTTGAATGTTATTTTATTGAGATCCTCAAAGTATTTTTCCTAACTTTATTGGAATTATTTGAAATAAGTACCTTAGTCTTGGCAATATATTCATTTTAATTATAGCTATTCTTCCTATCAAGGATAATTGCAGATTTTTCCATTTTTCCAGATCTATTTTAATTTGTTGCATCAATTTTATAATAGTTATCTTCCTTAATCATTATCTTGCTATCAGCTGAATCCCTAAGTATTTTACTTTCTTAGTGATCTTAATATCCATTCTCTTCAACATTTTTTCTGTTTATCTGTAAGGTTTTTTATTAAAATCTTAAGTTTTCTCTTTATTTATTTTCAATCCTGTGACCTTGCCATATTCTTCTATTTTTAAAAATTAATTTAGGTCCTTTTTTGTGGGTCTTCCAAAATAAAAACTAAGTCATCTGCAAATGCTTGTAATTTATATTTTTCTTTTTTAATTTCCATATCTTTTATCTCTGTATCTTGTCTGATAATTCTATTTAATGCTTCCAGTGTCAATATAAATAATAGGGGGGACAAAGGACATCCTTGTCTTGTACCTTTTCTAATACTGATCTTCTCCACCAAATCCCCATTTACTATCACCTTTGCAATTTGCTTATAATATATTGCCTTAATCATATTAATAAATCTCTTCCCAAAGTCCATGTCATTTAACTGTGCTGGCATAAATTGCCAGTTCACATTGTCAAATATTTTCTGTGCTTCTCTGGATGAGCTTCGTAATACTCCAGTGTGTTTAGAATTATTTCCATATTGTCTTTAATTTGTCTCTTAGTAGAAAACCATTTTGGTCTGGATGTATAAATTGATTTTAAAATCTTTTTAGCCCTTCTTCAATTATTGAAGCAAATATTTTATAATCAGCATTCAGTAAAGATATCAGTCTGTAGTTTTTTATCTGTTGTAAATCTGAGTCTTCTTTTGTTATGAGAGTAATATATGCTTCCATTTGGTACTTTCGCTTCTAACAATAGTTCATTGAACACTCCCAACATTGGAATGCTTAAAATATTTTGTAAGTCTTTGTATAGTTCTGCTGGTAGTCCATCCGGACCTGGTGTTTTGCCATTCTTTTCTCTCTTAATTGCTTCTGTTAGTTCCATCATTGTTATTCATTCATCTAACATTGCTTTCACTGTTTCAGGTACTTTAGGTAGTTCCGCTTTTTCTAAATATAGTTTTATTTTATCTTCTGAGATTGTCTCCTGATCATATAGATTTTCATAGTAATTTTGAATCATTTTCTTTTTACCATCATTTTGATGGTGTAGAATTCCTTCACCATCCATTAATTGGTGTATCAATTTCTTTTCTTTCTCCTTTTTCAGTTTGTATGCCAACCATCTTCCTGGTTTTTTTGCATTTTCAAAAAAAATTGTTTAGCACTTTAAATTTTTTGTGGTACTTCTTCTTTTTCTATTAAATTCAGCTTATGTTTTATTAATTCCATTTGATTTTTTATGTTCTTTTTTTGTGGTTCTTTTTGTAATTCTATCTCTAGTTTCTTATATTCTTCTTCTAGTTTCTTTTGATTTTGTCTCTTCTTTTTGTTTTTCTTTCCCATATGTTATAGTTAGCCTAATACAGTGGTTCCCAAACTTTTTCAGTCCACCGCTCCCTTGGTGCTACAAACTCATGCTCGGTGCCCCCCACCCAGGGGTGGGATTCAAATTTCTGTGGGTGTGGCCTAAATTGAGGGTGTGGTTTGCTGGTCACATGATGGGGTGGGTGTGATTTGGTGGTCATGTGACTGGGTGGGCATGGCCAGGTGACCGGCAAACCAAATACAAGTGGTCCTCACTTAATGGTTGGTTGTTTAGCAAGTGTTCTAATTTATGACTGGCTTCCCCAGAGATACTTGACCCGTTTTTGGAGTTTTGACAGCCATGAACACACATACACACACACTCCCTTCTAACCCTGCTGGAGCAGGTCACTGCACTAGAATCAGCAAAGCATCTCTGATTAGATTCTAGCAGTGAATAAAATCTAATCAGAGATGCTTTGCCGATTCTTGTTGATTTCTTTTATTTGTATCTCTTTATTTTATGTTGCTGAATTGCATTGACATGTGTGTCCCTTCTTGTGCACAACCCAGAAGCTTTTGTGATTCTTTGCAGCAAAAATTACTGACCTCTGGTTTTGCTCTACTTTTCAAACATGCTGACACTGCCACGTTCTAGGTGCTGGCCCCACAGGTCCACCCCATTGACCCACTGCACTGGAGGGATCTGCCCAAGCAAGTCGAGTCAATGGGGTGAGCCTGAGAGAGGGAAAGAGAGAGAGAAAGAAAAGAGAGAGAGAGTAGGAAGAAAAGAAAGAGAAAAGGGAAAGAAAGAAAAAGGGACAAAGAAAGAGGGAGGGATGGAAGGAAGGGACAGAAAGAAAAAGGAATAAAGAAGGAGGGAGGGAGAGGAGAAAGATAATGAGATATCTATTCTAGTCCAATCACCTGCTTCAGCGAGTTAGAAGGGTGTGTGTGTGTGTTTGTGTGTGTGTACATGTGTGTTCTCCTTGTAATTTACCAGTATATTTTGGTTTTGCCTTCTACAGAATTGGCACTGTAATACATTGAGGAAAAGTAATTTTTATAATGGAGATATGGTCCAATGGATCCTGTTTAAAGCCTCAACAAAATGTGAGAGCTTCCTGATAGTCTTGACCATGTTTTGTCCACAAAACCTTTAATTATACAAGCCAAAGATGTTTCAATGTGCTGGCAAAGATGTTTCAATGTGGAAAAGGGCCTCAGTCTAAACTAGGCCTCATTTCAATCTGATGCATCAGGTCTCTCTCTCTCTCTCTCCCCCTCCCTCCCTCCCTCCCAGGCTGGCTTTGCTCTACTTTCCCAATGTGCCTGCGGGGCTGGCGCTTCAAACATGGATAGATGGAAGGGTAGAGAGAGAGACAGACAGACAGACAGACAGAGAGAGACAGGTAGGTAGGTAGGTAGATAGATTGGTAGATAGTTAAGTAGATAGGCAGGCAGGCAGGCAGTCCTTTTGGATGAATGTATGGATAGATAGGTGGTAGGTAAGTAGATTGGTAGATAAGTAAGTAGGTAGGTAGATCTATATTGGTAGATAGGTAAGTAGGTAGACAGAAAGACAGGTAGGTAGGTAGGCAGGAAGGCAGGCAGACAGACAGACATTTTGGATGGATGGATGGATGGATGGATGGATGGATGGATGGATGGATAGGTAGGTAGGTAGATAGATCTATATTGGTAGGTAAGTAGGTAGGTAGGTAGGTAGGTAGGTAGACAGAAAGGCAGGTAGACCTTTTGTATGTATGTATGTATGTATGGACGGACAGACAGACAGACAGACAGACAGAAAGAATGTGACAGCAGTGGCACTTTGAGAAAGTAGAGCAAAGCCAGAGTGGGAATTGAAGTCCACACAAGTTGCCAAGGTTGAGATATATCAACACAGCCATTCTGGTTTACAGTTTAGCATGCTGTTTGATTCTGGCTTAGTCAATGAATAAACCATGGCTAAGATTTTCCTGCTCCTTAATGCAGCTGCCCCTCTGCTGCTTCTCCAGCCCCCTGCAGCTGCCCCTCTGCCCCCTCCAGCCCCCTGCAGCTGCCCCTTTGCCCTTTCTCCAGCCCCCTGCAGCTGGCCCTCTGCCCCTTCTCCAGCCCCCTTTGGCATCCAATTTTGCAATGCCAACCTCCCCAGGGCAGCGATGTAGCCGACCTCACCCACTTTGCTTCAACCCAAGGTCCACTTCCATCCGGCCAAGCAAGGGGAGGTACTCTGCACATGCTCAGAGACTCCCAACTTCAGTGAAGTGTTTTGCCCATCTTTATGCTCTGCCCGGGAGGAGGAAGGCGTGCGGAAGCAGCCCAGACCAGGGTAGGCAGAGGAAACGATCACTTTGAAATTAAGCAAGCAAGCAAGTGCAGGGCTCAGTCAAAAGAACTGGGCTGCAGAGGGAGGCGAGGTTCTAGGTCCGGAACAGCCATGTAGAGTCGAACCGAACTGAGCCATGCGCCTTGGAGAGCCGCAGCTGCACTGTTGTAGATCGAGGAATGAGAGGCATAGACCAGAGCATACTAATAACTGGCTTTATTCAAGAATAAGGGGCTGTCGCGTCTGCTTGCTAACAATGCAGACTTGCCCAGCGAACAGCGGCTGGCTCAACTCAACAGCCGGCTTTTATAGCCGACTGTCAAACGGAGCCAACCAATGGGAGCTGCTAACGCCCCCACTCGAAGAACGGACCAGGTTGGGGACTTCAACTAGTCCCAAAGACATAACACCCCTTCCCCCTGGATGGGAACATGCATAGTCTTTAAGATACG